GGCTGCTTGCCAAAGGTCCTGGAGCGCCGGGTGGAGTCGGCCCGGCGCAGGCCCTCAGGGCTGCTCTCACGCGATGCCAGCTGCAACCAGGAGTGCAGCTCAGCACAGCCCTGCCCAGGGTGGCAGTGAGGAAGATGCTGCACTTGGGGGGACAACCAGCACGTTCTGTGGGGGTCTGCCTGGCACCAGACTGCACTGGGGGCTACATGCTGGGGTGGCAGCATGCGCCATCAGCACCTGGCACCATGACCCTGTGGCTGGTGGCCAGCAGCCCGGCTGAACCTTCCCTGGGATAACCCCCTGGGAACAGGAGTGCCAAGCCCTGGCCCCACGGATTACTGGGAGCTTATCCTGTGGGCTGGGGCCCAGGTCCAACCTCCTCTGAGTGGGGCTCCCAGGCAGTGCAGCCTTGGCTCACCCCGGCACATACCGCAGTGGCTTTGTGGGTCATGCTGCCAAGTGCCAGAGCTGCAGGGTCTGTGCCCCCTCTTGGGTTTCGGGGTGCCATGGCAGCCCAGCCCTGCTACCCGTGCCAGGGGCCCCACTGTTTGTATTTTCCCATGTGCCACCTCCACCCATGGATTTGCCCATCAAGCCCTGGCTCTTGCTGCTGGCCCCAGCTGAGTCAACAAGTGCCGGCTTGGAGCTTCCTGCTCCAGCTGCCTTGGGCACTGTGCCCAGCCTGGCTCCTGCAGACCCTGCCTGCTCCGGTGTGAGGGTCTGTGCCCTCAGCCTGTCCCTGTGGCCTGGACAGGGCTGCTCATAAGCCTGGTAAGTGCTAAGGAGACAGGGCCATGCATGACCATACCAGGGGCCTGAGCCCCGCACAGGCCTGGCACTCACTGCTCCGCAAGACCCCTTCCCACATGCCGCCATCCCCACAGTGCTGAGCTCTGCCAGGGCCCCAGCCATGGCCCTGCACTGCGCTCCTGTCCCTGGTGAGGTGGCAACAGCCATGGCAAGGGATTGGGGTATCCATGAGCCCACCATGTCCCTGTGCCCCCTGCCCGCCTAGGGGGCTGCGCCCCTCTTACCTGTGCGCCCGGCTGAGCTCTCTCAGCTCCTGGCAGTGCCGGCTGTGCCACCCGACACCTGCAGCGCAGGGGACACCGGAGCCAGCCTCTCGGGTTACACCTGCGTGCAGCTTTGGTGTGGTGATGGTGACACTGCTGGGGACACGTGGCCACAGCTGCAATGGTGACCACACACACCAGCCTGTGCTGGGCATGGCAGTGTGGCCAGACCACCGGGTGCCACGGGGCACTGTAGCATCACTGTCCCTGGCTCACGTACCCTCACTGCTGGTGTCAGCTGAGCCCCCCCAGTGCTTGCCAGTGTCATGGGCATGTAGCCTCAAGCTGAGGCTGTCCCCTCCCAGTGCCACTGAGCTCACAGCTCTCTATGGGTGTCCAGTGGCATGCCTCCTCCCAGGTGGCATGTCCCTTGAGCATCATGGCTGATGTGGGGCCATACCTCTCGGCGCAGCGCCTGGCTCTCCACGTGCCGCAGGTTGTTCTTGGCCCGCACGTAGATGTCGGCTGTGTGG